CCCTTCACCAACCTAAATGGGACGCATATGATTTGCATGTCGAAAAACGGAGTAGCCCATGTTATTTAACCTAAAAAGTTATGTAAGACCCATAAATTTTTTTCTATTTATTTGCGACCGTTTTGTCAATAACAGAAAAAAAACAGTTTTGTTTGAACCCTTTTAAGGGCATATAACTTCCTAAGGGTGCGTTTTAGGGCACATGTTAATAGGATCTTTTTGGCTTATTTTAATAAGTTATAAACGCAGCAGAAGGTTGGAACCCTATTTTAGAAACACCCTGTATATTCGAGTTATTTACAAAATAAAAAAAAAATATATGAACTTTGAGGCCATTTAGCGACTAAACGAAGCGATTTCGGATATGGGTGAATTAGCCTAGATCTGCCTATTTTAAGTCCACGAATCTGTGGTCTTCGTTGTACACGTTATTCTGGGACATCCTGTATATACAGGGTTATTCACGCAACTATTAGGATACAAAGTTACCCAGGTTACCGGTCATGAACGTTTCAATGAAAATATTTTCAAAACTGTTGCACTTCCGCTTATACCAGAAGTTGCCACCATCTTTGTTATTTTAAATGAAACACCCTGTATATTATTGCATTTTTGGATTCTACGTTAAATTTTAGTGTCACTTTGTATAAACTTTCCCATATTTAAAATTAGCCCTTTTCAAGATAATGCGATTTTAAAAAAATGCATGCAGCACTGTTGGCTTCAAAAGTATATGCCTCAAAGCTGTTTTACATTGACAATTTATTGATCAATTATTAATTGATGAAGTCGCTTCATCAAGAAATTGGACAAGTGTAATGCACCAAATCAGCTGTCAAATAACTTCATCAATTTATTCATCAAGTTCTTGACGAATTAGAGCATGTTCTAATTTTCGTCAATTTCTTCGTGAAGTTCGGAAGTACCAACCCAACAGATTTCCAGCCTCAGATCAGTAACGAGGTTATGTTATTGGAATATGTAAATAATTGTGTGGTGTGGTGCTAGTTTTACATTGTTTTTACTGATTTGTTATTTACAAAAACTAATATTTATATAATATGTGTCAGAACGGTACCGCTGTTGTATCACTACAATTATGAGTGGAAAGGTGACATTTTTGAAATTTATTTGCTTCTTTGATTCATTGGTAAAACTGATTCATACGTCAAAAAACTTGACAAAGTCTGTAGCAGTGTAAAACCACACTGTTTACCAATAAATTCTTGAACTAATTGATGAAGAACTTCGTCAATTTATTGATGAATAAATTGTCAATGTAAAACAGCTATCAGAAATAGTTCACGTGGAAATTTTTATTTTTAGGTCAATGAGAATACAAGTCATGGGGTGTTCCTTACGATGTTTTTAAAATTTGCCAGTTTTATATAGGGCCCAGAAAACTAATTGACAAACCTGAGGAAATTCAAACGTGTGTATGTCATTTTTTTTTAATGGAACCCTTTCCTCAAACGTAAAAGGTTTTATTCAATCTTCAAAAATTTAGATTTTAGATAAACTTAAGTATAGTATTTTGTCATTTAAATAAGGAGGTTACTATTTAGGTTCTTGCATATTATTAAGTGTTGGTGACTGTTTAAGTGTGTTAAATGTTTTTCATTGTACAGGGTGATTCACTATATTTTGACCCCTCCCCCCATTAACTTTTTTGTTTTTAGAGTTATAAAAAATGTGAAATACAAAAGTTGCGCGATTTTTTATGAATTCTTCGAAAATGAGTAACGATCTTTCTCCATACTCTATTTTAATTCCTAGTAATATTTCAATTTTCTACTTCTGTGTAACCTATTTTAATTAAATAATAATACAAACTGTCAATCAATAACAATGTTATCATGACATTACCTGTCACTGTCTACCATATAATATTGTTCATGAGTAATTAGGCCTCTCACGGCCTAATTAGTGAGATTTAGTTAGAATACCTATACGCATTTTGAACCAGATCAATGTCCGATATGTCAAAATATATTACAACTAAATGTGTAAATCTTTACGTAATTGGACAACAGACAGAAGTGCCTGAAAGAGGTCTAACAATTACAAGATGTTCTATTTTCTTAATAAAAAATATTCTTTTCTTTTTTAATAGTATCTCGCTTATTGTTAGAGATGGACCCAACAAACCCTATATGACTATGCTCGACAGGGAACATTCTATCCAAATATGTAAAAATATACAGGGTGTTCCATTTAAATTAACAGAGTTAATATTCGTGGCCATTTTGTTTGGACTTCATTTATTTTTCATATATCATCTTCGAAAAATTCATAAAACTTTTATATTTTACATATTTTGATAACCCTTAAAACAAAAAAGTTAAAGGGGGGGGATCAAAATATAGTGAATCAATCTGTACTAGAACTTTAAGAAGAATGTTTAGTTAATTGCTTTAAATACAATTCAGTAGTATTTGCCTTCATGTATGATTATGATTCAAAAATGTATATTTGATAATCTGAGAATTGTGTCATTTACTAGCATTTGTTAACGCTAAAGAAGATTTACTAATTTTCTTAAATTTATTTCATGTTTGTTGCCTACATTTAAATACTTTGTACTGTACCTTGCCATTTTGGAAAAATATAAATAGGTACATAAAAAGAATAGTCTGTACAGGCTGTTTCTTGATCAAATTGCACTTTAGGTAACGTAGGTAATACAAATAAAATTGTAATTTTTGTTTTGAATTAATTGCAGGAATAGTGTAATATTATACGGTTAATGTAGCTCTTTATTTGCATAAGGTTATTTTACAGTACCTACAGTGGCGTCAAAATGAACAATGTGTTATTTTACACAAAATTGTTTTGAATTTGAAATTGATAAGTGTGAGTCCATATTTATAATTTTCGGGAAAGGGTAAAGACTTAGTAATCTCACAATCCTTTTATTTGCAATGTTCAAAAGACGACTAGTTTTGAGGTCTACACTTTACACCTCATCTTAAGGTCATAACAAGGATATCACATTTACAAGGTCCTGTCAAAATTTGGAAAATTCATCTAAATAACCAGTTTATCAGTTGTAGTACACTTAAGGAAGATATTATTAGGTATACTAGAATTGTCGTCATTGGCGAACATATAAAAAAGTTACGGGATAACCAGTGGCGCACAGGCACTAGAAAGAGAAACATCCTGTATATGTATTCTCACCAAATTCTATATTTACATTGCCCTTATATAAAAAAATATGTGTACCAAATTTGAAGTTTCTAAGAAAATCAGTTTTCAAATTATTTGAAAAAACTAGGTTATCTGTTCTACGTTTAGAAGGCTATATCTCAGTAGGCGTGCACTTTTGTATATAGGTAAGTTAGGCTAAATAGTCTTGTTTTCATCCAAGGAATTTGTGGTCAAGCGTTGTCCATCCTTTTCAGGGACACCCTGTACATGTTAATTTTTAGTAGGTTGTTCGTTGGTTGAGCAGGTTGTTCGTTCTTCTCACTATGTAACACAATTTTTATTGATTATTCATTTTCAGGCTGTGCTAGAAATTTGCCAGGTCATAACTTTCTCCTAATAAAACATGCTCTTGTCGTACGAAAGAGAATGTGATGGCCAATGGAGCAGAAGGTTGAGATTAAATTATCGATGCCATAACGTTAAAGACGAATAGCGCTGACGATGTGTATGATTGCCAGGCTATTTCACTTTGAGGTCAAGGCAATAATGTCTCCTTGTTTGTCTGCGCTTAAATATGGTAGCTTGTTTTTACTGTCTATTATCTTTCATGTTATTTTTCTTCACAATATAAAGGAGTTTACTTCCAACAGTTAGTTTTACGGAAATTAATAAATCAGAAAAGGCATTTATTCTTTTTTTAAAGTTGCATACTAAGCCCTTTTTTATCTTTAATACGCTTTTTAACTTTCTCGCGTCTTCAATATTTCTGAAAGGAACATCTGCCTAAACCTCAGAAAATTCTAACAGGGACATCTTTTTATATAATTTTTATCTGAAGAAGTAATTGGGATGTAAATGATTTGTTTGTATTAATAAATTAAGAACGGTCAAAATATTATTTAGTAAAAATTAAATCCATTTATAAAAATAGATACTTTAAAAACAACTGAAAGTAAATTACACAGAGAAACACTGTCATGAAAATTCACACAATTATTCCCAAAATCATGACAAGGAAAATTGTATCATCTTTCATAGCATTGTTTGTAGATTTTAGAATATTCACTATTTGTAGTAATAATTTCACAATTGTAAAAATAATCACAATATAAACGTCGAATTTTCACACAATCTGTTCCTGTCATGATTTCATGAATAATTGTGCGTAATAATAATAGTGTATATGCTTTAAAAAACATAAAGGCCAAAATGTAGAAATTAACGATTTCCTCCTCATTCTCGTCGCGGAATATCTACTTCTGTTCACGCAGAGGGCTTCAACCTACACACCAACATCAAAATCACTCCGATCTAACCATCTCTGCGCCCAGAGGTTGCGGCCGAACATATGCCGCACTTTGAAAGTTTATACTTATATAGGTACTTACATATATTTTTCAAACATCTAGCGTTACACTACCGATTTAGAATGATAATAAAAATCGACCTATTTTGACACTATATAAATTTTGCCATTTTCCAAATTTTAGAAAATCTGTGAATACATTTTCAACTGTTTTTCAAATAAATGTCTAATGTGTCTAATATGTGTCTAGATTTATAACTATAGAATACATCTTGAACCAAATGAGCTCATATACAGGGTGTCTCATAATTAGCTGCCAACCCTGAACAGGCCGATTCTATGATCAAAACTAAGTAAAAAAGTTCATATGAACATGGGTCCGGAAATGCTTCCTAAGGGCACAGGGACCCATTGAAGAGGGAGGAATGGAAATCATTTTTTTGCAATATCTCTCGATCACGTTGTGATAAATGAATGAAATTTGGTATACACAGCTAAATTTTGATGAGCAATTTGGTGGACTAATCCATTTACTTCTACAAGGTCAATAATTCGAAGGCTGTACGCTCACCTGTGGAATGCAGAACAGAAGCGCTGCCATCCAAGCTAGGTAGACCATGACCTTGGACCTTCTCGACGTCCAGGAGCAGTATGTCAAGGGATAGCAAATGGCCTGGTGTCTGTCCACCGCTGTAGCCATCAATATATACGAGCTTAAATATGGTCCTAGCGTTTGTCCATATTTCACTACTTTGCACATGAAAAAGCCCCCTTGGAACCTGAAGGTAATGTCCCACGCTAGCTGTGGGAGGTCGGTGAGAAAGGCAGTTATTAGATCTGCTATACTGAGATGGAGGATGAAGAAGTACATTCGGGAGAGTTTCTTCCTTCCTGCATATCTGAAATAAAAAATATATACCTGATATTATTTCTAAAGTACATAGAATTCTATGCAATCAAATACTTGTAGTCTAAGAGAAAAATTGTGAACATTAAGTAATTATTATTTATAACTTGCGACAAAACTCGAACGAGCGACTTCCGCATCAGTTTACACTTAAGCAATAATAATTGTGATTTTACTGTCGGGGAAGTTCAGCAAGTACAGCTTAATCGAGTTCTCACCAAGCTATTTACACTGTCAGCAAATTTATACTTGCATAATGTGTTCGCGGCTGACAGTGCTGACACAGTGACAGTTTTTAGTTGAAAACATAACATGGCACCAGTAAGATGTGTTCGTACTGCAGCAGCATTATTATTATGTAACAGTTACAATAAAAAAAATAAAAAGAGGCGAATGTTTTGGGTACGAGATTAGATATTACGTAGAGAAAAATATGGGGCCTACAACAAGCTCATTCGTGAGCTGAAAATTGAAGATGCACAACAGTTTAAAAATTTTATTCGCATGTCAGCAGTCGACTTCTCAGCATCTTGTTTTTTATTTCTGTTTCTGTAACCTACAGAATGCACATCCCACAGAACAGAATTTTCTTCGTACAGAGTTATTAACATTTGTATTTCCGTATTTGTCCAAACCTTCTTGTTCTCCGCCATGTTGAACTCGCACTGTTCACTCGCCAAATATCGAAACAAACTGGAAGTATTGTAATAAATTGCGCAAACGCAGTTATACCTATTTAGACTTNGCGCGGTGAGTCGATATTATTGAATTCGCACAAGAACTCACGCAACATTCTAACTTGCAAGTCTAAATAGGTATAACTGCGTTTGCGCAATTTATTACAATACTTCCAGTTTGTTTCGATATTTGGCGAGTGAACAGTGCGAGTTCAACATGGCGGAGAACAAGAAGGTTTGGACAAATACGGAAATACAAATGTTAATAACTCTGTACGAAGAAAATTCTGTTCTGTGGGATGTGCATTCTGTAGGTTACAGAAACAGAAATAATAAAAAAGAAAAAAAAAACGAATGAGCTTGTTGTAGGCCCCATATTTTTCTCTACGTAATATCCAATCTCGTACCCAAAACCTTCGCCTCTTTTTATTTATTTTTATTGTAACTGTTCCATAATAATAATGCTGCTGCAGTACGAACACATCTTACTGGTGCCATGTTATGTTTTCAACTAAAAACTGTCACTGTGTCAGCACTGTCAGCCGCGAACACATTATGCAAGTATAAATTTGCTGACAGTGTAAATAGCTTGGTGAGAACTCGATTAAGCTGTACTTGCTGAACTTCCCGGACAGTAAAATCACAATTATTATTGCTCAAGTGTAAACTGATGTGGAAGTCGCTCGCTCGAGTTTTGTCGCAAGTATCTCGCCAGTGTATCTCCGCCTTTAGACTTGCAAGTTAGAATGTTGCGTGAGTTCTTGTGCGAATTCAATAATATCGACTGACCGCGCTGTTTAGACTAATGACAGCAGTGTCTGAAAGAACTCGCGCTTGTTTTCTCGATAGTCTACAGGCCCCATTAGAGAACAACGGTAACTGCATATTGAGACGCCTTACTATTTTCAAGTACCTATGGCGAATAACAACAAACAAAATGCTGGTCACTTTATATTTCTTAAGCTGAAAAGTTTCTCGTAATGTAAAGTACATTCAGTGATTTAAGAGAATGACTACCACGTCATAAAAGCAGGGTTCTGGAAAGGTTTGAACTAAATTGTGTTTCAAGTATTTAATTCTTTTTAGAGCAGGTTTTGAATTCACACATGTAACTATATTTATATTAAACGTATAAGACATATACATGTTAATTTATCATATTTTTTTAAGTAATCATGATTAACAGTTATAAAATAACAGTTTACTCATTTAATTCAGATTTACTATCAGTATTATCATTAATGTTAATAATGCATCTCTCTGCATGTGAAACATAATTTTTCATGGCAAATGTTTCAAAGAACACTGAGAAATATATTATTTACGAACAAATCTTTAAATAACTCTGTAGTATATTCATTGTAATCCAACCAGTCCTCCATTTTTAGTTCAAGTTGCTTGAGACACCCAATCATCTTTAGAGCCAGAGTATTTTTTTTTGGATTGTTAAACAATCACCTTTGCTGCTTAACGGCAGAGAATGCGAGACATTGTGTAGGGAAAAATATATGAAGGGAATGCAATGAGGCATATGAAAAGGCATTTTGTTTGTAATATTTTATAGCGTGATATATTTTTGTGAAAGGAATGATTAATCAACTAAGTTAATTTTTATTTTATTTGATAGTTACTGACATTTCTCCACATCGTTAGGAAACACACTGTGTAATGTGTAATGTTCTCAAATATTCAAGTGTTATTTTTCGATGTCATTATAATTTACATTTTACAGATTTCTTAAATTTAAAGCCGATTTGTTAGAGACACACAACGTTCTACTCTCAATTACTTAATTTCCTTGCAATTTGATTTAATTTTTCCGAGTAAATATCACGTCATATTCGGGACTATTCACCATTTTCTATATGGTTTTCATCTAAATCTTTATTAATCTGGCCATTTCTTCAACACTTCGCATTTCATGTTCATTGGGGATTATATATAAAGTTTTGGTAATCTTCCTAGACTTTAAAAGTAAGTGTCTTCTTCGATTTTCATTTTCGCGCTGTAGCTGCACTCTCGCCAACATTTATTTGATTAATCAGAACTATGTTCTAGGTTCACACGAATAATTGAAGAGACTGGTTTTGCAATAATCTCATTTATTATCATATCAAAAACATTTTACTTGTGAATTGGTTTCCAGTAAGACTGTTCCAAGTAAGGACATCTGGGCATAAAACGCATTTGTTGTATCGATACCACAGCCACACAGAAAGAAGGTTCAAACTCATGAAAGCCACATATCATTTCCGAAGGAATTTTATGCACTGAACACGATCCTATAGTCACAATTCATGACTTTACGATAAATTTCGGAGAAAAGTAAAATTTTTGGGTGAAACTGGTCTAAATATGAGTCAAAACTGATTTTCGTAGTATTTTGAGGCACTGAACACGATACAATTAGTAAAATTAACCCATACCCTCTATATTTCCCCGAAAACTGGTCCAAATATGGGTTAACACTGATTTTTTTCTAATTTTTGTCCAATTTCATAGTATTTTGAATGGCTGAATACGATGTCATTAGTGAAATGTAACCATGACCTCGATATGCACTTTTCGCGTTTTGTGTCCAATTTATGGGTGCTTAGTGGCGCCTGGGTACCTGCTGCATTGGGTACGAACCGTCAGTAAAAGTAAAGGCCGCTAAGGAATTGTCCTAATTGCTTTATTGTCGTAGGCAGCGGGTAGCCTTTTATAGTCTCGACCTTTTAATAACCGAGGAAATTCACTTCGTTTTGTCCGAACACACACTTTGCAGAGTTAATAATTACGACGCCGTAATTCCGCAGCCGCTGGAACAGTGTTTCCAGGTGACGCAGGTGTTCCTCTTCAGACGATGAAGCTACGAGGATGTTGTCGATGTACGCATAGCAGAAATCCTCATCGATAAAGCGTTGAAAAGTTTGGGCTGCATTACGTAACCCAAAGGTTATGTGTGTAAATTCAAATAAACCGAAAGGCGTCTTGATAGCCGTCTTGGGAATGTCTTCTTCCGCGACGGGGATTTGATGAAATGCGCGAATCAGGTCGATGGTCGAAAATAATTTTCTACCTCGAAGTGATTGTGCAAGGTCCTGATTGTCGCACAGGATATAGGTCTGGACGCGTTCGTGCGTTCAGCCTACGATAATCGCCACATGGTCGCCATTCTTCACCCCTTCTTGGTACGAGGTGTAAAGGTGACGCTCACGCACTGTTGGAAGGACGGACGATACCTAATTTCAGCATATCGTCGAAATCCTCTTTCGCTGCCCGCAATTTGTCTGGCGCTAATCTACGCGGCTTTTCAGCGACGGGGAGACCAGGTGTTGTTTCGATGTTGTGCCTGGTTTGGTATTGTACAGCCGCAAAAGGAGTACAAAAATGATGTATTTAGACAAAATTTAGAAAAAAAAAACAGTTTTGATCTATAATTGAACTAAATGCACCTAAAAATTTCACTTTTCTCCGAAATTTGTGGTGAAATCATGAAATTTTAATACAGAATTGTGTTCAGCGCAACGAATTCCTTTATAAATGAAATACCTGTGACTCTCTTGGGTTTGAACTTTTTTTGTGTGTGGATGTGTAATCGCAAAGACAATTGCATTTTATAGTGAGCGGTAAGTGAACTCAGGTCGGCGGAGGCAGACTTTACTACTAGTATTTTTAACTTTAATAGGGTTTTAAATAATTTTGATATTATATCGGCATTGCAGCAACACATATTACTTACACTAACATTAGTTTTAGACACCAGTTTTATGTTTAAACTGAAATGTTAAAAGTAAAGACATAAAGCGTTTTATGATTATATCAATAAATTTCCAATATTTGTCCTTCGAAAATAAAATAAATAGGTCAACTTTTGTAATCTGAAACCTATTAGGATGAATTATATAAATTAAAATAAAGTTAAAGAACAACATTAATAATAATCTGACGGCGTCTATCACACGCTACTGAAATATGGTTAGCATATCTCATATCAAACCGGCTCTCTGACTTTTAAATTAAATTCCATTCGGAATATTCTTCCATCAATAACAACGTAAAAAATGTATTATATAAGCAGACCCCATATCATTGTATTTCTTATATAATCTTATCACAATATTAAATATTTCATACGTTCCCCACTGTCTTCACCACTTTGAAATCCACTCACAAAAATGAGATATTTATAAATTAAAAATGTAATTCTGTTGAAAGTTAACCCAAACATTGCTTTAGCTTCGTATGTCATGAAATAATTAACAAAACAAATATCAAATACCATCTCAAAGTCCCTACTTTTCAAGCAGATATCATAATTCAAACTTGTTTT